CAATTTCGTCCGTTGCGTTATCTTTTTGCCGGTGCATCAGGACTAATTGTTTTTATCTGTTTTTGCCACAGACACATTCAAAGAAGTACTATAATAATCGGTCTACATGCTATTTTTCCCAAGATAAAATTTCATCAGCCTTTGATTATAATTTGTTGAGAATATAAACGAAATAACTAACAATTTGAAACTCTTTCCTTTAGGCTTAACATAAGTGATTTATATACATCACCACTCATAGACGAAACAACTGATAATGCATTGACCTTTTGTATGTCGAAATCAACAATACATTTTCTAGGCAACAAACAGGAGTTTAAACGCATTTTTTCAGGAACGTTATTATTTTTCACGCAGCATGCCAATTTTATAACTTGTTACATTTTATTTGGAATTTTTATCTGTCAAATATCGGTGACTGTAACAAAATTTGAAATTCGACCCGATGTTTCAAGATGGAATTGAGACTATTTATGATATATTTGTGGTAAGTGAGATGGCAAATCAAATGAGGGCATTTTATCGAGGTTTAATTGCACAATATTTGAGTAGTTGTATTTTGTTTTTTTGTTTTGTACAGACTAATGAACATTTAAATTTTTATATATGGATTGAACGGCGTTTTTTTAATGTTTATGTCTATTAATATAACAACTAATAACAGATGTGTCTATAACTATTTCTGGCAACAATCTTTCAATATTATCAGTCTTTATCCACACAAAATAGACTTAGGCAGACATGATCTCTGTTTCATCCAAAAACACATGTTATTTCAATGTTTCAAATATAATACAAGGCTGGGTGTTGATCTTAACCCTGGAAAAGTCTAAGATCACTCTCTACCTATCAGTATACAGTATAGTACACATACATGTATACACATATTATATACTGATATGGGTCACAGTACACATAAACATACATGTTTGCTTATGTGTGCTGTGACCCATATCAGTTATAGCATGATACGTGCATTTCAGACATTTGTCACGAACCCCTGTGGATCTCCGTTTTCGGTTTGTATCGGGGGTTGCCTACTTACACGGGTAGCTGGAGGGAGAATATTGAGGGCAGTACATGTCTACCGCTAGCAATCGTGAGCTGAAAATATTTTGTTGATTGATTGTTTTTGGTTGTTTGAACAATTTCTTGTGTTGCCTCAATAAAAATGTGAAATCTCAAGTGGTATCTCTGTTTTGAGAACTCAATAGCAACAGAAAAAAGGCGATATGGCGTTTCCTACATGTCGATAATAACAAAGCGTCGAATTCGTAGCTGAAGGTTCCAATTTTTTAATGATTCAAGCATTAGTCGACACACGCTGATGCAGATAAAGAAAGAATAAACAACAGGAGAAAAACCATCATATAAAAATGCAATGCTAAAGTAAAGTCTACAGCAGGAAGTCGCTTAAAATGGTGAACAGACCCTTGCTGATTTGCGTGTATATTAAAAGAGTAAGTAAACCTTTGACTGCGCTCAGTTTCAGTTCTATAGTGTTTGCTTTTTTCGCTAAACCGCTAGCTTGGTAAAACACCATAATTTTGTGTACTGTAGACGGATGTTAAAGACTGTAACTCATTATATGATCTGGTTTTTTTTGTGTGTGTGTTAAACAGTAAAAGTTGTTGTGATAATTGGTGTTAAGAGTACTCATAAATACGAACAGAACACAAGTTAAACATTAAGTATATTAAAATAAAATATCTGAACACTGAAAGATTATGTGATATTTCGTTAATATCTTATATTATACTATGCTATAATGTTTGCATTATCTTATATGCAAATAGCTAATTAGCGCTTCAATTGAACTTTGCAAACCAATGAAAACTGCCTTATTCGTCATTGTCATAAAATCATAAAGGAGCGTTCTATTTATTGACAAGTCTGCATATACTTAACATATGTAGATATACAATGCCAGATTTTATAATAACTAAGTGAATACTTTTAAACTTTCCTAGAATCAGTTACATTAGCACATAACGTCACCCCTTTAAAACATAACGTATTTACAACTTAGAATTACCTACAAATCATACCGGACATACTGTCTTGCTGAAGCCAAACAAAGTATGCTTTGGCATGGCAATAGATAGCCCGAGTTTCCTCTGGCCCTGACACCAGACTTAGACAATTTGACAGATAGATGTATGGTGTGAGGCCAGAGCGCATTCCTATATGAAAACGTGGAATTCTCCGAGAGTTTGAAGGTGCTGAAATAATGGATTATTTGTTGATCCAAGTTCGCTCTAATGATCACCAACAGCTGCTAAATTCCGTCAGTAGAGTCCTAGGTTTTCAAAAGTTCAAATTTCCAACCTGAGGGAACGCCAATTTTTGTCGGTCATAAAAGTGACTTATCAACAAGCCGTACTGATCCGGACAGACCAAAAATGGAATATATCATTCTTGTTTAGAAGTTTTCAGGACCGACTCTTTTTGTTGATTAGTCATTTTCATGACCTACAAAAATGGCATTCGCTTAGTTTGGAAATTTTGAACTATTGAAAACCGAGGACTCTACTGACGGAATTAAGCAGCTGTTGGTGATATCTAGAGCGGATTTGGATCAATACAGAATCCCTGTATCGATATATGTGAGATATGTGTTGTGTCATAGTCGATTTATGGTTGGCAGCACCTCAAACCTCTCCAACCTCAAATGGTTTCAGATAATTCCACGTTTTCATATAGCAGTGTGCTCTGGCCCCATACCGGAGATTTATCTGTCAAAATGTCCTAATCTGGTGTCAGGACCAGAGGAAACGGGCTAGGCAATATATTTGATTTGTGTTAATGGTTTGAACTTATCGGGAAGAGTTGTATGAATTTGCATGTAAATAGCTACACAGCAAGGGGGTGTTTAAAACGGATGCTTGTATCTAAACCAAAATCCCAGGCCTCACATGTAACCAAAGACCCGGAACCGAACTACAACGAACTACAATGCGACCTCCACTTTTATCACACCACGTCAAAACTGTTTCATTGTAATGTCTAAACTAACCGAAGGTAATAGGCTCACACGGTTCTACATTACACTGTGTAGATATTTCGGTTTAGTGAGTTTGAGGTATTAAACAACTGACAGTTTATATGTATTATTGTAAAATCTTTTGTAACAGGTGATATGTTCGGTGTCTTGATTCATGTACAACGACACATACGTGGGAGTTTGGTGGTGTCTTTAACGCTTTGTTGTATATACCATGATGTATATATTGTTGTGTATTACATTTGAGAATGCATAGGTGTGTGCACATGTGTTTTTGTACAGTAACTATACACGTGAATACACAAAGTGTTCCTCCTTCCGCATAATGACACATACATGTGATTGTCACTCACACGTGTTTAAAACATATGATGTCTTTGTGTGTACGATACATATACTACTAGCCGTGCATAGGATATATCCTGCAACGACCTATATCCGATCCAACCCTCTATATTTGCCTTGCATGCGCCATATCATTATGTCTTATATAATTAGGGTTAAAAACAATTAAATATCAGACATCAATTTCACTCAAATTGTATTATTGCTTCTATACATACATGCTGACCTGGAACATTTACTTAATACAGGATATGAAACTTGAACCATTACTCTCTCCATAGCCTCAACGTATCTACCCTCGACCCATACAGGCCCATCGGCCTCCTGCCCCTCAAGCTAATCTGAACCCGAGTTGGATAAACATGATAAAATATGACTAACCATTATTTATGTCATTTACATATAAAAGACTTATTTCTTACATCGCATATCAATTATCAATAGCAATGATCGGGAAAATTAAGTAGTTGCTATCTTGTAGCAAAAGTGAAGCCTTCATCTAATTGAAAAACACCAACATTGAACCGATTTTAAAGTTGTATGTACCATAGTAAAGATCGCATCACGTTTTGATTAATGAAAGTATTAACTCCAGGCAACTAATGCGCCCCATAGAATATGTCCGGTGCTACCAGCGTACTACCGTATACATGTGTGTACGCTGTCAAAATGAAGGCCAACCCCTCAATACCGCAAATGCATGCTAAACATGGCAGTATGAAGTTTAAAGAAATCAAATTTGTGTAACAACTAATAAAATAAACGTGTGTGTCAAAACGTCAAATAGTACCGCCAAAACAAGCCAAACAGTATCAAGTAATGCTAAAACAACGCCAAACAAAGCAAAACAGCAGAACAATGTCAAAACACCACAAAAAATAAACGCAAAACGACGCCAATGAGAATGTAATTTTGCGTTAAGAAGTGATAAACTTGATTGAAAAAAAATGCGCTGAACAGTTTTGAAAAATATAATTGTGCTACACTTTCGTTGAAAAATTACACTTGCTCTAAATTTTCTAACAACAACAGCAACAACAACAACAAAAGGAAATAAATATGCTGGAAAAACACATGTACGTGAGATGAATATTCCAAAAAATCAAACAGGACACATTTTTTTTATTAGAATACGATGCTAAATGTTCTGGCACTGCAAGGTTGATAGCATACTCTTATGCATAAAGTCGAAATCTCCATATGTCGCGAAATCTGGTCCGCCAGCAAGATAACCTAATCTTGCTGAAGCCGAAAACGCGATGACGTCATGGAAACTAGCACAACGGCTATATACAGTGTAGCAATGATCTAACTGAGCCTAAGACTCGACCTCGTCATGACAACTAGTACGTTGGCTAAGTATCGTTTATAACATAAGCGGAAAACTCAACTAAACCTCTGAAGAGAGAAAACGTAGTGTCTCTGCTGAGCCGTAAGATCAACGCCCAATGATCCTGTCAACGCTTAGTGGTTCAATCTGCTTCGCCAAAGTAATTAAATTGACACACAGTCCGTTACAACGTGATTAGGACCAATTCGTGAAAGTGATTAGTACTCTTTTATCTTGTCTGTAGATTTCATGTATACACCTGAGCTGTCAGAGAAGACTAAAGACTACAATGATTAGAATGCTTAATCTTGATAATTACAGTGAATTTGTCCAAGGGACGCCCAACAAATTCCTCAGATTTTCGGGAAGGAAAGGGAGCTTCAAGTTTAGTTGTTGATGGAAACGATTCCGACTTTTTAAGCGATCCGAATAATGCAGCCATCCCACAATGTCTGTACACCATATCAAACCAGAAAACCACATTCTGGCAGGTTGATCTTGAGCAAAGGGTCGTAATAGATCATGTGGAAGTCATATCCAGGAGAGGAGGAATTGGCCAGCGTACGCGTAAGTGATGACAATCGTATTTAAGTTTGATTTGTTTGTCTTGATATGACATCAATCATAAATTTGATAAATACATGAAGTGATGGTTGGTATTATTATCTGAGTCTAAGCTCACGTTGACAGAACTTCAATCACAAAAAAGAGGTGTTTGAAATTTTATTGTTTTGTATACATTAATGTATTTTACTTTTGAAGATTTAGATCATTTTTTTAAAATAAGACACTTTGAAACCATATTCTTTAAGTTTCGTGCATGGTAATCTATCTTGACAATTCAAATGTAACGCAATGAAGAAAACAAAAAATACTGACCCTTTATTATATACGATGATAAAGAGTCTTGAATACCCACAAATAAGAAAAATCGACAAAGCAAATAAATATATAAAAACTTGAATGTTGTTGTCATGGCTTCAATAATATAACCATTCAGCTTTAAAATATTGTTTTAAAATATCAGTTGATGATGTCATTGAAAATAATGTTTCATTTAGTTTATACATTGTTACCACAGATCAAATACGTCGGAATGGATACTCCATCATTGTGACGGCGTCTTCCAGATATCTACCCATTACCCAGGCCGACATTTGTTACAGTGACACGGACCCTGCACTAAGTAGTGCAAACCACGAAAACCAGTCCTGTAGTAACATAGGACGTTACATCACTTTTTACAATCAAAGGGAGACACTCTCTGGATCAGACTATAGTCTGGATGCAGTTCTGGAATTGTGTGAGGTCAAGGTAATGGGTAAGTTATCAAACGTTATTGATATTTATATCCAACTATTCAAGTATCATCATGTTTACTCGTACGATTTATTTTCAGGGACGATGCGGAACTGATACATCTCATTATATGAAGCATCACTGTAAAGTTTTCCATTCTAGAATGACATAACAAAATACTAAAAACATAAAGATTATGATAATTTGTTGCATGCTTTTTCTAAATGTGGAGACAGAGCAAACAGATCTCAAAAAAGTGTAAGTGAGACTTTAACTTAACCTTGTTTACAATAACTACACAAATACATGATATGTAAGTTGCTAAATCAAATTGTTATAAAAATAACAACTGCGTAGATACAGGCTTTTATATTTTCGTATTGCTTGTATGCAGATACTTAACTTTTGAAGTTGATTTTAGTGGTGGTTTTATTGGAATTGTAATATATTTTTTATACTGGAATTAATCATAGCGTTTATATCTTCCTACGGTTAATATATGTTAACAAGTCATAGGGAATTCTCTTCTTTTGTTTAAATTTTTCGAAATTCAGTCATCGCGCTGTGATCTTCATGAACATTGGATTTGAAAAAATACACTGTGTGTTTCAAATTTTAGAGATAATTACATACATACACTTTAAAAAGCACGTTTGATATTTTTTAATTTTTGGAGAATATTGAAAAATAGCTTTTTATGCATTTCACCAACTCCATCAATAACCAAAAATCTGTTTGCTTTAATAGTGTTCTTATATTTGCTTAATATAACTAATTAGGAACTTAGTTTAAATACTAATTATATTATAAGACTACACACAATCCTGAATGTACTGATAAATGAAATATAAAATCGAAACTTTAAATCGACATCTACATTTTAACAGCTCCACCCAGACGTAATAGCATATCCACACAATGTATCAGTATTGTTTTATCATTACTGGTGATGCAATTAATGTGTCAATTATGAGTTCTGTGTAGAAGCCAATTACGTGTGGCGGATTGGTCGAGTGGTTAACACCCCGGCCTTACACGCAGGCGGGCGGGGTTCGATCCCCATTGTCGTCGTACGCATGGATATTCAGAGAATATGTTTTGCTCCTGCCAACACAACTCCAACAACTCAGGTGGAGTATAAATTGGTCCAGGGTGGATTTTGCGGTATCTGTGCTTTAGCATTCAAGTGAGGTGGCACTATAAATGATGCATTTGGAAGCACGGTCCCACTACAAACAGAACACACTACATCTCCAGCACACACACATGTATATACATGTAACAGGAAAGAGAATAGTATGCTTCCACCGAGTATCGAACTCTCGATCTTCAGGTTCCTAGTTGGACACTCTCCAATGAGCTAAAGGAAAATTCCCTCTAGCTCGAAGCTAGAAGGCGGCCTTAATCCTATATACAATTGAACCCAGCCACACAAACATAGGAATACATTAGCCAGGTGGCATATAACTAGTAGTTAGCGCCTGATAAGGCAGCTCCTGTGAATTCTTTAAAATCGTATTAATTAATGTATATGCTAATTGTATTAATTGTATATCTACTTTATGCATTGTAAAGTGTTTTAGAGTGGTTTATGTAAGCTAGATATACCAAATGTTGTATATTACAACATGTAGCTTCCATTTAGACGATCGTGATTTCTTGCTCAAATAAAATAATCCTCTTCTAATCTTCAAAAATCGTAATCTCTCATATGGGGCATACAAATAGAAAGGTGTTATCTCAGGCCATTGCCTGTCTTTGTATTTGTTTGCTATGTCTAGTGTTATAGATTTCTCCTTCCATTGGATGTGTATTTTGTTACAAAGGATCAGTAGCCCATGTGTTAGCTTCTGCTATTTCTTGGCGTTATTTTCGTTGTTAAAAAGGACTAGCTATCCAAGTGTTAAATTTTGTCATTTCCTATAGTTTTCTGTCTACAAATGACTTATTATCCAGAAAGTATCTTTTGCAATTTCGCGGAGATGTTTTTCGAGTTACAAAACGCTATCTATGTGGTGTTATCTTCTGTCTTACGAAGGGCTATAATTATTTATGTGTTATCTTCTACCTTCTCTTTGGGGTTGTTGTCCGTGTTACGAAGGGCTTTTTATCCAGATGTTATTTTCTACCATTTCCTGGAGTTATTTGCTATGTTTCAAAGGGCCAGTAATCCATGTGCTATTATCTTACATTCCGTTGAGTATTTCAGGGGTTATTTCCTTTGTAATTCCTTAAAGTGTTTTCTATGATAAGATGTCACGAATTAACGATGTTGTCGTATGTGTATTTCCTGGACATGCCTGCTGTATGAAGGAGAAATAGTACATAATTGTACTTCGGGTTTTATCTTTGGCCTTTCTCATATCTCTTCTGGGTAGTGACGACCTTGTGTGAAATATGTTTTATCATCTGTCATTCATATTGTTGTATTGAGGTGATATATCTCTGTCATTCCATGGCGATACATCCCGTGTTTCGGCGATTAGTATGTCAGATGTTTGTATCTCCCTTGCTTTTCCATGGAGCTTTTCGAGTTGAGTAGTATTTCAGAAACCACTAAACTAAACATACAACATAAAACGTGTATCATTGGAATGATGAACGCTGCAAACGATAAATATTAAATAAACCAGACCACATGATTATCTAAGTACATCCAGCTGCATGCCAGATTTACACATGCTTAAAGTGATTTCTTTTTACAAAGTACCATGCTGATATTGATTATTTTTGACAGTATGGTGGATTATCCGTTACACGTTTTGTAGGTAGTCTATCCAAAAAGAATATTATGATAACGTTCTCTTAAAGACACAGCAGCCCGGATAACATGAATGCTATATTGTATTTATTAGTGACATTAAATAACATTTCAAACAAATAGTCCGATAAAAATATCTTTGCCATCCGTAAACTCTTTTGATTATATGTTATTATTTTTTTTTTTTTACACTTTTCGTGCATTGACAGAAAACTGATTTAATTGTATTACTTATATCTATTTCAACTAAAAGTTTTTGTGAATTCTAGACAGTCAGTTGGACAGATGTAGGTTGTGTAATGTAGCTATTTTATTATATTATGATTGAAGTATTTTAGACGAAATATATTGGAATACATATTAATACATATCAAACATAGGTTGTCCCATAAACAAGCATGGCCTAAACTGTTCAGAAGACTGTCCCGCACGCTGTACCAACAATCTATGCTTCCCCGGAAATGGAACCTGTATGCGAGGTTGTAAACCAGGCTACACCGGATCCGCGTGTGAAAAACGTAAATAACTTGTTTCTTTTTTTACATAAAGAAAGAGAAAGGTGGTCACAAAATGAATATACTTATCATGTTTTCAATCTCAGTTTTTTTTATTCTTATCTATAGATTGATTGTCTGCCATAATAGGTTGCTGGAAATAACCGTATGGTAGTTAAGCTTTCACAATCTCATGGTACAATGTATTTATATAAATGAAGCGTATATGTGTATAACTATTTAGAGAAATTCTTCAGTCCAAACAATTTTGGACACTATATTTGCTGAGTTCGATGACAACGTTTAGAAGTAGACTGTAGACATTCCTTTTGGAACAATCTGTGCCTTTATTTGGCTGATTCGTTTTCATTGAAACTAAATTTATCTGTTCAAATAAGTGACCATAGCTTTTAAAAGGCTGTAAAACGCAGAAAATAAAAAAATAAAATAAAAAACTATGATCTTTGTTTCAGTGTTAATGATGACCTTAGCTCCTGTTACAGCCTCGTGTTGTATATATGCTAAGCGTTTCTCTTAGTGTGATGACAAAGTTTTCTTCTAATGCACATAACATAACACTTAAAACCTACATGTAATGATTGAGAAAGAACCTGTACAATGCACAACATATTTGTATTTATATCACTGCAATTTCACTCCCTCTTTGTCGTGTGTTATCTGTGAGTGGAATACATTTATAGTGTGTACATATACATATTTAGTCAATTTTGATTCCGCAACGTATCTGTTGAAAAATGATCCCCGTATTACTCATGTTTCAGCGTGTGACGATTACTTCTTCGGACAAAACTGCGCTTTGGAATGTTTCTGTGCGGCTGGACCATGTATTACCGTGGAAGGCAAGTGTCCTCAGGGAGGATGTTCTGCTGGATACAACGGGACATCATGCAACACGGGTAACTATCGTAAACGTCTAATTGTACTGATACAAACAACATTACACTATAGCGACCCTGATTACTCTGTAAACGTCTAATTGTACTGATACAAACAACATTACATTATAGCTTCCCTGGCTCCTCTGTAAACGTCTAATTGTACTAATACAAACAACATTACATTATAACGACCCTGATTACTCTGTAAACGTATAATTGTACTGATACAAACAACATTTCATTATAGCGACCCTGGCTTCTCTGTAAACGTCTAATTGTACTGATACAATCAACATTACATTATAACTTACCTGACTATTCTATAAACGTCTAATTGTACTGATACAAACAACATGATATTATAACTTCCCTGACTACTCTGTAAACGCGTATTTGTAATGATACAAACAACATTACATTATAGCTTCCCTGGCTACTCTGTAAACGTCTAATTGTACTGATATAAACAACATTACATTATAGCGACCCTGACAGCTCTGTAAACGTCTAATTGTACTGATACAAACAACATTTCATTATAGCGACCCTGGCTTCTCTGTAAACGTCTAATTGTACTGATACAAACAACATGACATTATATCTTCCCTGACTACTCTGTAAACGCGTATTTGTAATGATCCAAACAACATTACATTATAGCTTCCCTGGCTCCTCTGTAAACGTCTAATTGTACTAATACAAACAACATTACATTATAACTTACCTGACTATTCTATAAACGTCTAATTGTACTGATACAAACAACATGACATTATATCTTCCCTGACTACTCTGTAAACGCGTATTTGTAATGATCCAAACAACATTACATTATAGCTTCCCTGGCTCCTCTGTAAACGGCTAATTGTACTGATACAAACAACATTACATTAACTGATACAAACAACATTACATTATAACGACCCTGATTACTCTGTAAACGTATAATTGTACTGATACAAACAACATTTCATTATAGCGACCCTGGCTTCTCTGTAAACGTCTAATTGTACTGATACAATCAACATTACATTATAACTTACCTGACTATTCTATAAACGTCTAATTGTACTAATACAAACAACATTACATTATAACGACCCTGACTACTCTGTAAACGTCTCATTGTACTGATACAAACAACATTACATTAACTGATACAAACAACATTACATTATAACGACCCTGATTACTCTGTAAACGTATAATTGTACTGATACAAACAACATTTCATTATAGCGACCCTGGCTTCTCTGTAAACGTCTAATTGTACTGATACAAACAACATGACATTATAACTTCCCTGACTACTCTGTAAACGCGTATTTGTAATGATACAAACAACATTACATTATAGCTTCCCTGGCTCCTCTGTAAACGTCTAATTGTACTGATACAAACAACATTACATTATAACGACCCTGACTACTCTGTAAACGTCTAATTGCACTGATACAAACAACATTACATTAAAGCTTCCCTGGCTACTCTGTAACCGTCTAATTGTACTGATACAAACAACATTACATTTTAACGACCCTTGCTACTCTGTAAACGTCTCTTTGTACTGATACAAACAACATTAAATTATAACGACCCTGACTACTCTGTAAACGTCTAATTGTACTGATACAAACAACATTACATTTTAACGTCCCTTGCTACTCTGTAAACGTCTCTTTGTCCTGATACAAACAACATTAAATTATAACGACCCTGACTGCTCTGTAAACGTCTAATTGTACTGATACAAACAACATTACATTATAACAACCCTGATTACTCTGTAAACGTGTCATTGTACTGATACAAACAACATTACATTATAACTTCCCTGAGTACTCTCATCATGTATCTCACATACTTTACGGAGTGTCATCCTTGATTGCAGACGTCTTTATCATAACGTAGATAATTGAGGACCAGTTATTCCCTGGATATGCTTGACGATATGATATGGACTCAACAAGTTTCGTACTTAGTATTAAGTATAATTTTACGCTAAGTGTCACCTCCTTGATTATTCTGGAGTTTGGATATGGCAAATTCAATAAAGTGCAGAGCTTGAGGTTAAATTGATCATTGCACTAATTCTATTAAACTATTTTTATTATGTAGCAAATTTAATTTAATTATCAAATTGAGTTTTTAGTTCGATTAAGAGTTTGTATCGTTGCTGCTTGTTGAATAGAATTACCACTCTCATAAGAGAGACAATGACGTTTAATAGTGATGACGTCACGAGTGGGTCATGCCATTCCCTCTGGAATTGGAATGGTTGTATAATTGAAATAAAGTGGTAATTAAAGTTTTCTATTAAAGCAAAACGGTTCAATTGTTCGGTTGTTCTCTCGTGGCATAAGATTTTAAATGCCAGAAGTGTGAAAATTTGACAGTCTGAAAGAAAAACGGTTCTAACATGAATATTCTAAAAAGCTGAAGCATTGCTTCAATTTAAATGAAATTAAGTTTTTTGTGTGAAGGTTTGTTGTATTAAATGGTTTTCTTATTTTTAAAATTACTTTACTTGAAAAAAATGATTAACTATATTCACGAGATACTTGAAAGTCTACCATTTAAGCAGGATTTTATCTAATGATATATCAGAGACTTTTCGATGTATAGAGTTCATACTTGTTTTCTTTAGCGGGATGCGTTAGTATAAATAATTTGCCAATAAATGACGACCTTATCCTAGATTGAAGGGCTGTTGAAGCTATTTAAAAGGATACAATGTAGCATTTGCTAATATTTAAGGCCCCGGGGGTCAAATTTGTTTTAACTTAACGACTCTTCTCTTCTGAATAACAATAAAAGGCTACGATGTGTATAGTAGCATATATGGATGGAAGTATAATATATATTTTCTTTTTCTAAAAAACAGCCTTCCAAGTCACAGGGTCACATTTGTTAACACTTTAAAAAAGCTAGTTCCTCTCTATTACCAAAAATGTTTAGGTCATGATATTCGGCTTTAAGCTAAGGGATCGGAATAAAAAACAATCTTGAAGGTTATAAAAATATAAAAGAAAGTTGTATTCCAACAATTTTCCTATGGCGAAAAGTAAAAAAAAAGACATCTTGCAATGACACGTTGGGTGGTCGGGTGGCGCAGTGGATAGCACACTTGCTTTCAACACAGTGGCCGGGGTTTTCGATTCCGCTATCGGACATGGAAAGGTATGGGGTAACCAGCCCGACCACGGGGGCTCTATCCTGATATTCCGGTTTCCTCCCACATTTACCGCCGTGCTTACATCCGGTCCAACAAGAGTGATTAGTATGAGTTGTAATAACTTGTTTCATAATTGTTGTATAAAAATTAAATGATGACAAGTGAGCAATACATGCCTATCTGTCCTTTTGTTTTGTTTTAAGCGTTAAGTTAACATCGTATTATTCGTATGTTCTTAATAAATCAAACAACTGCAGTGCAATGTTTTTTTCGTGAATAAAGGTATTAACGTTTCGTATTTTCTTCTTCAGTTTTATACACGGCTCAAATTGTTTAACATATGATGCCACCAAATAGCCTAGGTTTAACTTATTTCGAGGTAGATTTTAATTTTACAGATAATCGAAGCTGTTCGTTGAAGACTTGTTTAGACCGTTATTTTTACAGAGTGTGTGGATGGTACATTTGGCGACAACTGTGGAAGTAAGTGTGGCCATTGCATAAATGGACCAACTACGTGTCACCACATTGATGGATCATGCAGATCTGGCTGTTCGCCTGGATACAAGGTCGAAACGTGTATTGAAGGTATTAGAATATAAGACATGCTCAACATATCTTTACGCATTAATCTTTAATTTGCGTCTGTTTCATTTTGGAATTTTTGAATCCTCATTATAGTTGATTGATATGATAAATGTAATATACTATATCAGATAAATTATTTCCGAGTCTAAATGAAGACATTTAGAATAATTATTCCGACCGAGCTAAAGAAAATAGTGAGGATTCCTCAGATAAAATGGAAAAATAAGTATTCGTTTATAATCACGTTCCGCTTTTCATTTTACTCGCCCAGAAATAATAAAATGTTTTTGCTTTGTTTTGAGATGTTAACAAACGTATTTATCAAATGTCAACATTTTAGAGTTTACTGGTTTGTATGAGGAAAATAAATACCCCTACAGTAATGAGTGATAACTTTTCACGTTACAATATTTTCCCATTGCTTTCTAAGGTAATTATATTTTTTTTTATCTTTACGTTTTCCTGACTTCACTTTTTTTTATTCCATCTGTTTCTTAGAAATTCTACCATGATCAGTTAATTGGCCAAAGCAATTTTATTGCAAATTTGAACATTATGTCTAAATCAAGCTCGGAGAAAAAATGAAATGATGAAAATTTATTGCAAAGGCCGTGAATAAAATGTAACAAAGAATCCAATCGGAAAACAATGTACCGTGAAATACAAGTACAAGTATTTAAGATTGATGAAAAACATACTTGACTAATTCCTTGTAGACTTTGTTGCAGTATTTTATATAATGATAATGTATTTTTACGAATAATTTTGATTTATAAAGATTGACATGTATAAATAACTTTGCTTTTAGTGTGTGATCCAGGGAAATATGGCTCGCAATGTAGCCGTCATTGTGGACGTTGTTTCAACGGGGCACCATGTCACCATATCAATGGCACGTGTTTGACCGGGTGTGCTGCCGGTAAACAGGGCAACACATGTGACACAGGTACGTCATTTAAGATCGACTAGACTTACGGTAAATGGATTTGTTTATAACATGTTTACATGTATAACATTGAAATATGATTTTAAAGTTATAGTTGTGTCGTCGTACATAGCGCGCACATCTTACATAGTACGCACATCGTACATATAGCATGCACATGCACATATTGGCACTTATTACCCGCACAGTCGTGCAATTCAACATTCGTTCGCCTCGTTGTGCGCTTATGTCCACACAAATGTGCAATTGTCTTACTATTTTTTTTATATAGATAAGGCCTCAGTCACACATTAAGGATTTTTACTGCCGACCTTAATTGGACCATTCCCTGAAACTTGTCAAAATTCTGATCAAGATCCTGTGATTCATGGCGGGAAATTCACAAATTTGTAAAAACATTTGTTTAAAATAATAATAATAATTCGACGTTCATTTTATCGTAGTTCGTAGTCCGTCTCAAAGCGGTTCACAAATTATTATCCGTGGTTAAAGGGCCTTTGCAACCAGCCAATATCTTTCTCAACTTCCTTGGGAGCATACAGCCGGAGCTGCCATTTCGATTTACATCTACAGAGTAGACTGGAACAAGCGGGGTAAAGTCTCTGGCTCAAAGATACAACACTGTGCCGCGCAGTGACTCGAACAAGCAACCCTGTCCCGACAGCGACCCCATTCTCCCGAATGCGATCCGACAGAGATCAGACAGTGACCGGACAGTGAACCGACGTTGTCGGCAAGATCAGGACGCAGTTTGGACTCAATCCGCAAGTAACGGCAAAGAACATCACGACAGCGTCCCGATCCACAGGACACCGTCTAGACACCGTCCAGACAACACAGTGCATTGTTAAGAATTTTTCCGACACATCAGAATCTGTCACGACATAGTCACGATTGTAATCCGACTAGAAAAAATCGGCCGAGTTTCCGGAATGTTACGGGACGCACCTAACTGTCCGGAGTGCGTGGCCGACCTCTCTGGACCTCTGGTTTAGGACTCTGTTAGGAACGTCTACGACTGCGTTCAGACAATGATAGGACATTCCAGATCAATGAGGATAGTAATCCATTTTTTTCACTTTTCATGTCGTAGCGCTGTCTGATCTCAAACGGGAACCATGATTGCCATCACACAACGTTAGTTTTAGTCGCCCAGTATTTCAGCGTACATCCATCGTTCACACATCGGTCATACACCATGTACATTGTGTGCGCACGGAACATCGTATTACGTTGTGCAATCCCACATACATATACAGTATATATAGATGTATCTAAATATTCAAAATCACATTATACCAATGTATTAATTAGGGGCATATTCTGTTTATATTTAATAACATAATTTTAAAACAAAGTTCAAAACATTTTACTCACTTAGATTCTGAAATAATTTTTATCTGCTCTTACATCATACGTCTTAACATTCTTATTATTATTATGTCTACACAGATTGTACCCCTGGTATGTATGGTCCGAACTGTGAAAACACATGTGGTGACTGTAAGGGAGGTCCACGTACGTGTAATATTACCGACGGGTCGTGTCCTGGCGGATGTGCAGCGGGATGGCAGGGACCACTTTGTAAAACTGGTTATTCTTAATTTATGTATATGATGTATGAGAGAGAAAAAAAGCAAAGCTACTTTAAATGAATAACACAACGAATAGACCTGAATTTGAATCATGCATGTACTTTGAAAATTCATATTTGAACATAAATGCAAACATGTCAAACAATGTTTCTTGGTATTCATTGATATTTATCCAGGTTTATTTTCAAAACTTTTTTTCCTAAAAATGATAATATTATAATATGTTATATAATAATATTTTATCAGTGTTTTCCCCAAGGTGAAACAGTACAAGTATTGACAAACCCTTATGCCCTTTAGGATGGTACGGCGACATTGGATTTGAAGAAATACAGTGTGTGTTTCAAATTTTAGTGATAATTACATGCTTACATTTTAAAAAGCACGTTTCACATTTAGGATTTTCGGAGAATATTGAAAAAATGCTTTTATGCATTTCACCAACTCCATCAATAACCAATAATCTGTTTGCTTTAATAGTGTTCATATATTTACTTAATATTACTAATGAGGAACTCAGTTCAAATACTAATTATATTATAAGATTGCACACAATCATAAATGTACTGATAAATGAAATATAAAATCGAAACTTTGAATCGACATCTACATTTTAACAGCTCCACCCAGACGTAAAAGCATATCCACACAATGTATCAGTATTGTTTTATCATTACTGGTGATGCAATTAATGTGTCAATTATGAGTTTTGTGTAGAAGCCAATTACGTGTGGCGGATTGGTCGAGTGGTTAACACCCCGGCCTTACACGCAGGCGACCGCGGTTCGATCCCCAATGTCGTCGTGCGCATGGATATTCAGAGAATGTGTTTTTTTCCTGCCCACACAACTCCAACAACCCAGGTGGAGTATAAATTGGTCCAGGGTCGATTTTGCGGTATCTGTGCTTTAGCATTCAAGTGAGGTGGCACTATAAAGGATGTCTTTGGAAGCACGGTCCCACTACAAACAGAACACACTACATCTCAAGCACACACACAGGCATACCCACATAGGGATACATTAAGTAGATGGCATAGAACTAGTAGTTAGCGCCTGATAAGGCATCTCCTGTAAATTCCTTAAAACTGTATTGATTAATATATATGCTAATTGTATTAATTGTATATCTAACTTATGTATTGTAAAGTGTTTTAGAGTGGCTTATGTAAGCTAGATAGATCAAATGTTGTATATTACTACATGCAGCTTCCATTAAGACGATCGTAATTTCTGGCTCAAATAAAATAATCTTCAAAAATCGTCAAAAATCGTAATCTCTCAAATGGGGCATACAAATAGAAAGGTGTTATCTCAGGCTATTGCTTGTATTTGTTTTTGTTTGCTATGTCTAGTGTTTCATATTTCTCCTTCCATTGGAAGTGTACAAAGGATCAGTAACCCATGTGTAAGCTTCTGCTATTTCTTGGCGTTATTTTCGTTGTTAAAAAGGACTAGGTATCCAGGTGTTAAATTTTGTCATTTCTTATAGTTTTCTGTCTACAAATGACTTATTATCCAGCAAGTATCCATGTAATTTCGCTGAGATGTTTTTCGAGGTACAAAGCGCTAGCTATGCCGGTGTTATCTTACGAAGGGCTATAGTTATTGTGTTATGTGTTATCTTCTACCTTCTCTTTGGGGTTGTTGTCCGTGTTACGAAGGGATCTTTATCCAGATGTTATGTTCTGCCATTTCCTGGAGCTATGTGCTATGTTTCAAAGGGCCAGTAATCCATGCGCTATTATCAGGGGTTATTTCCTTTGTAATTCCATGAAGTGTTTTTTATGATAAGATGTCACGAATTAACGATGTTATCGTTTGTGTATTTCCTGGACATGCCTGCTGTATGAAGGAGAAATAGTACTTCGGGTTTTATCTTTGGCCTTTCTCAAATCTCTTCTGGGTAATAACGACCTTGTGTGAAATATGTTATATCATCTGTCATTCATATAGTTGTACTTAGGTGATATATATCATAACGTATCTCTGTAATTCCCTGGCGATACATCCCGTCTTTCGGAGATTAGTATGTCAGGTGTTATCTCCCCTGGCATTTCTATGGAGCTTTTCGAGCTGAGTAGTATTTCAGAAACCATTAAACTGAACATACAACATAAAACGTGTATCATTGAAATGAAGACCGCTGCAAGCGTTAAATTATAAATAAACCAGACGACATGATAGTCTAAGTAATTCCAGCCGATGCCAGATTTTGCACATGCTTAAAGTAAACTTTTTTACAACGTACCATGCTGATATTGATCATTTTTGACAGTATGGTGGATTATCCGATACACATTTTGCAGGTAGTCTATCCAAAATGAATATTATGACAACGTAGTCTTAAAGACACAGCAGCCCGGCAAACATGAATGCCATATTGTATAAGTGACATTAAATAACATTTCAAACAAATAGTCCGATAGAAATATCTTTGCCATCCGTAAACTCTTTTGATTCTAATTTTGACACTTTTCGTGCACTGACAGAAAACTAATTTAATTGTATTAGCTATATCTATTTCAACTAAAAGTTTTTGTGAATTTTCGACAGTCAGTTGTTGGACAGACGTAAGTTGTGTAATTTAGCTTATTTATCATATCATGATTGAAATATCTTAGACGAGATATACTGGAATACATATTAATACATATCAAACATAGGTTGTCCAATAAACAAGCATGGCCTAAACTGTGCAGAAGACTGTCCAGCACACTGTACCAACAATCTATGCTTCCCCGGAAATGGAACCTGTATGCGAGGTTGTAAACCAGGCTACACCGGATCCACGTGTGAAAAACGTAAATAACTTGTTTCTTTTTTTTACATAAAGAAAGAGAAAGTTGGTCACAAAATGAATATACTTATCATGCTTTCAATCTCAGGTATTTTATTCTTATTTATAGATTGATCGTCTGCCATAACAGGTTGCTGGACATAACCGTATGGTAGTTAAGCTTTCACAATCTCATGGTACAATGTATTTATATAAATGGAGCGTATATATGTATAACTATTAAGAGAAAAGACTTTTGGAAAACATTACTTAATTAAGTCAGTATCCTAACTTCTCACTTCCAGTCTAGGTACAATTAAATCAAGGTTATAGCTATATTCTGACACTGTATACTCAGGAAAAGGAATAAATGGAATGTTGATTTTCAAGAAGTCAAAAGATCTCTATATCAACTAGAACATCCTCGTCTACGAGTAATTCTTCTGTCCAAACATTTTTGGACACTATATTTGATGAGTTTGATTGCAAGGTTTGGAAGTAGACTGTAGACACTCCTTTTAGAACAATATGTGCCTTCTTTGGGCTGATTCGTTTTCATTGAAACTTAATTCATCTGTTCAAATAAGTGACCATAGCTTTTAAAAGGCTGTAATACGCAGAAAAAAAAAAAAAAAAAAAGATCTTTGTTTCAGTGTTAATGATGACCTCAGCTCCTGTTACAGCCTCGTGTTGTATATATGCTAAGCGTTTCTCTAAGTGTGATGACAAAGTTTTCTTCTAATGTACATAACATAACACTTAAAACCTACATGTAATGATTGAGAAAGAACCTGTACAATGCACAACATATTTGTATTTATATCACTGCAATTTCACTCCATCTTTGTCGTGTTTTATCTGTGAGTGGAAAACATTTATAGTGTGTACATATTAATTAATTTTGATTTCGCAACGTTGCTGTTGAAAAATGATCCCCGTAATACTCATGTTTCAGCGTGTGACGATTACTTCTTCGGGCAAGACTGCGCTTCGGAATGTTTCTGTAAGGCTGGACCATGTACGATCGTGGAAGGCAAGTGTCCTCATGGAGGATGTGATCCTGGATACAGTGGGACACCATGCAGCACGGGTAACTATCGTAAACGACTAATTGTACTGATACAAACAACATTACATTATAACGACCCTGACTACTCTGTAAACGTCTAATTGTACTGATACAAACAACATTACATTATAACGGCCCTGACCACTCAGTAAACGTCTAATTGTACTGATACAAACAACATTACATTATAACGGCCCTGACCACTCTGTAAACGTCTAATTGTACTGATAGGTAGGTGGCATAGAACTAGTAGTTAGCGCCTGATAAGGCAACTCCTGTGAATTCCTCAAAATTGTATTGATTAATGACTATCGAAAAACAAGATTTCTTAACAGCATCATATTTGTTCAAGGCATTCTGTATTCGTGGTACTGTCAAATTGTAGCAATTATTTCTGTATAAATGTGTTAGTGTTACCTTTCACAAAATCACAATATGGTTACGTCAAAATAATAATCATAAACACTATCATAATGAGTGTTTATAACTTACATTTTAGCGTTAAATCGTTAAATTTTACTTTCACATATATAACGTTGAACTACTGCGTTTTAAAACGAGAAATTGATTTACCCTGTAGATCGTATATACCTCCTGAATTTGAAATCAATGACACTACAGTCGCTTTTTCTTTATTTTACTTCAACCTGACCAACATGAACGACTAATTACTAAGCAGTTTTATAAGCATGATGGTTCCAATTTTCCGATCGTAAATTTTCCCTTTCTTTTAAAGTAACATCCATTATTGTCAAATATATACTAAAATATCACCATTTCCGTGATGAATGTCGACTGCTGGCGGGAAACACTTACAACACTGGGTTTCCAGTGATGAAGGTCATAGCCATAATTTGGGCCGCCACCAGGATCTCATTTGGATACATGCGCGATGTGAACGTAAATGCTTTTGATTCTGCTCATAAATATACCGTATTGTTTCTTTGTTATTGCCCAGTTATCTATTATATGACTTGCATATTCTGTGGTTTGCTGTGAAAGTAGAAGGCATCAATCTCTCCGTAGATCAATGCAGGCCTACTGTAAACGGATAGTTTATTTAGCTTACTTAACACACACTGTAAATTCACATCTTGCGATATCTATTATATATGAAGTTGTCAAACTTTCGGAGCGATCCGCTCCTTTATCGAGACACAACATAGAACAAGGGACACTAACATCACATTGGAATAAAAAAAGAAATAAACGGTAATAGAATATGATATAGCTAATATCAAATACAACAAACCCGTCGGCTAGCGTAACCCAAAAGCAGAATTTACAATGACCGCATAATTGACCAAGAATACTGTTTGTGTGCAATACACGACAAAGTTATCAGATTTGTGTTTGTTGTTCATTGACTTTATATGTTATTTATTCATTGTTTTTTTTCTAAATTTAATTAGAGCGAATTTCTCAAGATCAAACTGAGGTTATTGGATGCCACGATAGCCTTAACGTAAGTATAATTAGAACAGAATCATAGGTACAAACTATGAATACATAGGGAGTTATTTCAAACGAAAAATTGAGTTAAGATTGTTGTATTTTAAATATTTCTATAATAAACGTTGCTTATTTTAATACAACATTCAAATAATCATTGCTCATGATATCAATTTTCACAATTATTAAATCATGTGTCGTAACTATCTAACTTTACTTACAGAATACTAAAGACGTAACCGGATACGCTATACTTGGGACTGTTCTGGCCATTTTCGTTTTCTACAACATTGGATTGACTGTGTTTTATCTAAGACAATCGTAAGTACATGTATATACGACAGACCATATATGTGCTGATTTAAAGTTTAATACTAGATAATGAAAAGCGGTTTTTTATACTTTATTTTGCAACATATGTGAACACTGTCATCGTACTGTATTTACTGATCAACGTGTAAAATATAATCATCGAAATAATTCTATTTAACAGCAGGAGGATCAAAACGCCCCCTAAACCGTCAACAGCCTATGAAATGCAGCCAAACAGTAAGTTGAACAACCTATCTGAACCAATCATCAGTTGATATGTAAAATATAAGGACTTGATATCAGTGAAACCAAATAAATAAAAAAAACACCAACCTAATTATATCTTATCATTATTGATTAAATATCAGAATACAGGAATAGGTTAACATGAATGGTAATCAAAGTGTGTTCTTTTTTATTTTCAGGTGTATCCCAGGACCATTCCAACTATGAAGGTTTAGACATAACAAAAGTAGATAACGTTAAAAACATTTATGAAACAATCGGGGAGTAAAGAAGAATCTGTAGTGAAAACGATGCAAAAAGACGCATGACAAAGAGTGACATGATGATTCTATTATTGTATTACATAAAGCAGTATGCATTAAAATCGAATCTAAACTGACGGTAAAAATACCCAAAACATCCCCGTGCCAAAATACCCAAACCATCCCCGTGCCAACAGTCATTCAGCTACTGCAATGTAACGAGCATGTCCCTACAGGTTCGGAAAAGGTTTAGATTTGCTGTAACCCACTGCATGTCGTAACGGCTACTTAGTGGGGCCCTGCAGAATCGTTGGTTTTCCACAGTGTCTTCTGCTTCATCCGTTGCACATCTATTGCATTTTTTTTTTCTCTTCCTAAAAACTTCCTAAAACCCCTTTTGCCTTGGTGCTTTTGCTAAAGTTTGTTAGGCAATTGGTACTGTTACCCTGGACGGAGCATACCAATGTCTTTCAAAATGGTAGTTTTAACCCCTGCTTAACCTTCAGGATTTAGGGTAATCGCAACAAGCGGTTAACGCGTTGTCAGTATAATGCGACTGGAAGGAATATTGTGCCTTATGCTTTCGACATGCTTTTCCAGTGAGGAAGCAGTCAAAGTCAGAATCAGTCCAGCATACCCTTCCTCAAGCACATAAACACACATGCACTCATACATTACACATATGAAAGCACGTGTTTTAGTGGTATAAACTTTTAATAGAGCGTTGAACAACCTAATGCTTATGCCTGTCTCACACAGAACACACGGCTTATAAGGTTGGCCACCCGTGTAAACCGTACATACAACCGAACCAACCGTGGCCTTATCCGAGTTACACTCGGGCCATTCGAGTGCATCCGTGAAAGCCGTGTAAGATTTTTAAAACTTTAAAAAACTGGCACGGGTGTCATGTCCGTGTATGATCGTATAAGCGATCGTACAAGACCGTGAGAGACCGTGTGAGACCGTACGAGACCGTATATACAACGGCACATGAAGTCCACTCAACGAATTAGCTCAACCGTGTCAATATCGTATATAAATCGTATGGAACAAAAGTCGGTGGGACTGTATGTAAACCCTTTAAATGTCCAGTAAATCGAGTAAAAGTCGTGTTAAATCGTACTAGGCCGTAACAGACCGTACTAGTCCGTACTTGGAACCGTACAAAAATCGTATGAAAATCGTTTGCAAATCGTGTTCAAACCGTGACAAACCTTGCTTGACCGAGTATATCCGTCCTGTTCGTACATACTCGTGCTACATTCGAGTCTAAATCGTACTAACTCATCCCCTGGCACGGTTGGAGCTCAATACTCGTACCAGTTAACCCGTGTATAACCGAGTATACCGTATTGGAACCGTGTGCCCAACCGTGTTCTGTGTGAGACAGGCTTAAGAAATCAAGCAATCAATTAATGCACAAACCTGTGTAACAAATATAAATCCCAAATACACACTTTACTATCAGCAAGTACCATGGCTAACGTAAAAACATGAGCGTAATATAACAAATCATGTGATTTTCTGCCTTAACCATTGAATAAGAAGGTTTATATTTCATAGCGTTAAATTGTCTGTAATATCCGTATTACTAATGGCCAGAACCAATTCAAACAAATCATTCTACAATAAGTTGTACACTTATTGTACATGAAGATGTCGAATCTAAGACTCCCCACATGTAACTAGATTCTCAATTAAAATATTCTCTGTCATATGTATCTTGTGAAATCCATATAAATCGTAATGCTGATTGGAAAGTGCGTACGTCATAATAGATGGCAAACCAAATCTTGTTAAGTATCGTGTTTGTAACGTTTGTATATATACATAATACTAGACTTGCCATGCTGTGTCTATTCATGTTGATCATGTACTGCTTGTAGCGGTTATGAATCAGTTTATTGTTGTTTATACCTTGCAAAAGATATAATTATTTACAATTATGTCATACTTTCCATTTATGTGAACTACTTTATGTATATAGACTTAAATAAAAGTACCACATTACTTAACATCATATTACCTGGAAAAATAAATGTAAATCTGTTAAATATACCTACTAACCACCATTTGAAAAGGTAAATGGCAAAATATAACTTAACAAATCTAATCAATACACCTTCTGGGGTAACATAAGCTACTGCAACTTCTATTGTTATTTTATTCAGTAATTATATTGATCTTATAAAACATAATGCAGTGAACACACCAATGTGTAGTAATCAATATGTTATTGATTTTACCTGTTCAAACTCTTTATTCAAGCAGAAAGCTTATACAAAATTTATATCGAACCTGTATTTTGAAATAAAATGAAAAGAGTTCTAAATGTAATAATATGGGAAATTTTGATAGTCTTGACTCGAGTTATTTTGAAAATGTTTTTAACAAATTCTATCAATAATCAAAAAGAGGAAGATATACCATCAATTTTTTACTGCTGCCGTTGTTGTACAATAATGCAAGGCGCGAAATTAGACGATGAAATAGATTAAAAAAAACAACAAAAAAACTGAAAATAACATCACTGGAATAAATTGGGAAAATTTCAGAAAGGCTAGAAATGAAGCAGTAGACTTTGTTAGAGAAGCTTGAAGAATTTATTATAAAAAATATGAAACAATAAGTCACCAATCTATACCTTCAAATAAATATTGGAAAATTGCTAAATCTGTCATGAACTAAAACAATGTATCAAACTATCTTTAACCTATATCTGAAGATAGCGATCTTCCGTATTTTCCATTTGAAAAGGCAAAATATCTAAATATCTAGTTCAGCTTAATACTTGTATCAACTTCCTCTGCAAATCTTGGAGCCCTTACTCTTCCAGGGAGGTGGTGGGATAGGTACACTTTTCCCTTTAGCCTAGACAATTTTATTATATATGAACAAGGCATTAAAGATCAACTGTCTTACTTAATGATAAATAAAATGTCCATGCCCAGATAACATGAACACAAGATAATAGAAAGTTAGCACCTTCTCCACTATGTCCTTTAACTTTACAATGTAATGCTACAGTTGAAACTGGTATTATACCTCTTTCGTGGAAAGTATCTAACATTAATACAATATAAAAAGGTTAGGGTGCTCAAAATGTAGTCTCTGACATAAGGCCAATATCATTGCAAAAGTTATTTTGAAATAATATATCTAAGTATTTAATTGAAAATATGTGATATCATAACGAAACACCAGTCATACTTTTTACCAAGAGACTCGACAGTAAACCAGATATCACCCATCCATGAACCTATTGTAAATAACTTAGATCAAAATAAGGAAATGTGATTTACATTTTGTGGTGCTAGTAAGGCGTTGATAGACTTTGGCACGAAGGTCTACTTTTTAAATTGTCATAAAGGTTAAAATATTGCAATGGTTTAGAAATTATCTTTCTGATACGAAACAGAGATCATCAATAAACGTTTAAGCATGTCAAATCTTATTTACCTCAAGGAACGGTCCTCGATCCGTTTCTATTTTTAATCTTTATAAATTTAAAGTAACATACAACGTTTTTTCTGAAGATGATTCTCTGGATGATGTAAAAGACAATAATTAAAATAAAACTGTACTACAGACAAAACCCCTTGTATTTCAACAGTGTCGTTCCCTCATCATGTAGAGAATTTAACCTTCTCTCTGCATATGATTTAAATGCAAATGCTCTGTAACAATTTTAAACTTCCTTCAATTCTGATAATGTACATAACACGAGCAATCATCAGCACAATTGTATACTATGAGCAAAGACATTTTGAATAGGATAATTTGTCAGCTAAGAAATTATGCTAGCAGCCTAAAGAGTGATATGAATGAACATGGATCATCTGAATGACACACTAGCATGTTGATATGAACTTTAAAATGAAAACGCAGATCATTGTATACTTGAATGCCCACTCTATGATACCTTTGGGATGCAATAACTACAAAACATTTCATGCTTGGTGTAACCTTTAACCATGAGTATTTTAATATTAATGCTTTGTTTAATAGACGCAAAATAGGCAGCACTGATATCGACATTCCAATTTACAAAATATAAGGACTGTATTCGTCAAATTAATAGATTCACTCACAACTGAACTTTACATTGAAAGTGATGTTAATATTGATAGTGACGCTTGGCAGATGAATATCAATACTGATGTATACATATAAATGGATATATGCGTATCTATCTTCACAATATCTCTGGTACTCTGTCTGGACTTGATAGATATTGTAATTATTTATTCTTAATCCTGGTTTTATTATTCTAAAGATGCATGACCATTTAATAGTGATTTGCTATTTTTGAATCCACCCCAACAAATTGATAAAAAGTAACTAAAACATCCCCGTGACTCCATTATCATATTCTCAAATATTACCCAGTAGGTGAATGGCCAACGTTATTATATACGATAATGTTTGGCCTGCATCCCGTGGATTTTATATCGGATGGGTTGTCAACAAGTATTTATGATTCACTGTATAGCTAATATCAAAAACGTAAACAGATATGTTTGATTAATAAAATATATTTATTTCATAAACTTCATTTGAGCTATCTCCCTTACATTGTTAATTTGGATTTTTTTATGACCGTACATGTATATATGTAATGTTTGTAAATAAGTTTGGAAAATAAAGAACCCTAGCCTGATGCTAAATCAAATTGAAATAGTCAATAAAATCTGTTGAAATTAAAATTGAAATAGTTCTTATAGAACAAAGCTGTTTATTTAGGCTGTTTTCACACTTTCAATGTGAACCACTGAAAAAGGATAACTGATTATTGATCACCGCAGTACACTTATGTTAAATTATAGTGTACAATTCCTTTTTTTTACGTTTTACTTCTGAGCATATAAGTATTAACATGGCTAGCTTCCATTTTTCTATAAACCTCCTTTTTTTGTTATATTAACGTATGGAAGCTTATTTCCAAATATAGTTTGTAAATAATTAAGTACGAAAGGAGACATTTCATATTTGTTATTTGTTTCTGCCGAAATGTGAATAAAATGAAGAGAAAAAAGGATCTTTTTCTGGTATATAAATGAAAAAGAATATCGGGTGAGGAATTTAAAACGATCGTTGTGATATTGAACTTACAATGTTTTAACTCTTCGAACATTACATATCATGTACAGATGCAAGTCCGCAGAATTTGTAAGTTTGTGATACAATATTTCATCCAAGTAAAATTATACATGATGACTTTCTTCCAACTAGAGACTTATAGGAAACACGTCTTCTTCGTGGCAATCCCAGTCATCACTTTCATATGTTTTGAACACAATGAAACACCAATAATTGGTTTCATCCACTTTGTAAAGCAGCTGGCAGATTTCCAATCCATGGTCCGTCAAAAAGACAAACACTAATGACAAAAAAAAAATTGCAACATTACAGCCACATTTACTCAGAGTCTACATTCCCAGTTAATCTTTGTTTATGCTAGAACATCAACTCCAATTCGTGGCGTTTAAAACTGTCGAAGACAGGTGAGGCCCATACATGATTACAGACAGTGTGACCCTAGACTTATGGCAGCAATGATATCTCATTTACATGACAATACAACAGCTGACGAGCTCCTAGCCAAAAGGAGGACATCATAACGCGCTGGCACACCACTGAGAATGGTAACAAAGAGAGACTCATCAAAAACTGGAAATCGGCGAGGTAACCAACATGGTTAAACCCCATCAGGATACAAACGATATTTAACAGTTCAATCCTAATAAAAACAACTTGACAGCGAAAGTACAATCTGCAAGTGGTGTTTCCACACGTCAAAAAAATACCCGGAGCCACACATCAATCCCCGCTTCTAGCTGGTCTTGTAACAACTACATACTTTTTCAAATTCTGCATATCCGGAGTATCTTCTTTTTGAAAATGAAGGTAGGATTTCGTTGAAATGTGTACATAAATATGTAATATTGATTGTATAAATCCTTACCCTTCGACAAACGTTATGTATGCAAATATTCGTGTCATCCCAGATACCGCATGCACATAACAAACGATTGTTAACAAAAATGGTTTATCATTGGAAACGCTATTGTATCACATTCAAAACAAAGAGATAAACATGGTAACATGATAATCCAGAGATAACACTATGGAAGCAGTATACAATAAACTGTACCATGTGGGAAGTATTCAAAGAAATAATGACCTTCCCGGCAATCAGGTCCCTGCACAGATTATTTTGGTAGGCTGGTTGAGTTGGACATGGACTCGAGCTAATTGTTGTTTATGTTAGGAATAGGTATTTAAAAACATTTACACGGCCAAATTGTTTGTCTTTGTCACTCGAAACAAGTTTTGTTGTTGTGAATATGGACCTGTATCGGATATAATTCGTTATTTTTGTCCGTATAATCGACCTGCCGAGGAAGAAAGAACATACTGGTTAGTTTTTGTTCCAATGTGGGCCTTCGAGTGTTGTTGAAATTGACAAAGAAATACTATGACTTACTTAAGATCGAGGACAATGTGATCTGTTTAGGACAATAGCAATACACAAAGAGTATTGAAATAATATACTTTATGTAAATTCCAAACATCGTTAAAATTCATTGAGATTCCTGCCAAGATCTGTTCACTTGAAAATTGAGAGCTGTGCTAATAATCTATCACAATAATGTTCAATTGCTAAATTGATTTGATTAGTTTCAACAATTAAATAGGTGAACCTTAAAAAGGCGAATAGAAAATGTCCTTATCCCTATCCACTCTCTGGTTGCCTTTTGCCCTGTGCTAACTGGCATCAATAAATGTGTATGTTCGTTGTTGTTTTAGATTGAATTAGCTTTAAGTCAGAGTCATTTGTGATACTGAAAACGAACCAAAAATGAAAACAAAATCAGATATGATTGGAGTGAGTATGAGCCTTTTAGCGATTAAAATATATTAAAAGCGATTATAATTACTATACCAGAGCCGCAAACCGCACGTCCAACATCAAGGTCATCTTGAAGTCGTCAGTAATTTTAGAGTTAGAGTACTGAATAAATTGACTGTAACAAGTAAAAACAAGCATAACCATTCTGCAGTGCTATATCATATTGATAAGTTGAAAATAATGCATTTACTGAATGATAGTGTTAAGGTAATAAACTTATTCTTTTTAATTATATTCTGGTACATGTTTCTCCATTCCCCTAGCCTGGCGTGGAATGTGTGAACGCTCAACACACACATGTTCAATGACAGCGGGAGGCCAAAGACACACATTTTTACCTGTGCTTTCTAAAAGGAATGTTTACAGGTAGGTGAAGTGAATTAATATTTAGATAATGTGTCTTCTCATTACGGTGTTATAGGGTTAATTCAGGATCAATTTCCAGGTAGATATGCATAAATTAAACGTGTCAGCATAGTCACAGATTGAGTGTGTTACATGAGATGAAAACCAAAATCAGAACAACTACATCGTCTGAGAAATTTTTGTATGCAAATGAGTCAACAAAGAATGAACGCAAATATATAAATCACATAAAACAAAAAGGTTCTAAAGTATATATGGTATAAGCAGGAGGATATCGTTTGCAATATTTCTACTTCCATGTCATTCTTATACGTACATGTATCACCATGTGATCTGATGGCAAATGGATACAACCTGATACCCGGGTTGAAAGTCTTTTTTTCCCTAGAATTTAACTTTTTTTTTTTAATTGTATGTCTTTTTGTATCAGAAAGTTCATACAATGTTCTCCCGTAAGATGTTTGTAGAGTAACTGAAACAATATGGTGCTGCACTACTACTTCATTCGCTAGCAATATATACAAAATTCTGAAGATTGTTATACACAACATATCATAAGGTTGGTGGTACACGAGCAATAGATAAAATTAGGCCTAAAATCATAATTTTATTCTGAATGTGTATTACAAGTAATTATCATAACGACCGTAGGTATATTAGCGTACAGTACATCTTGGTAAATATTAGAAGGAATACGACGAATTCTACAGGGAGATTAAATATTCAAATATTCTGTGATAAAAAAAGATTGATCGAACATTTATTAATACTTTTCATGCAAACAATTATACTAAAACCGATTGCACAAAAAAGGGAAAACACAAGTAAAATAACCGTTAATTGTTTTTCACTTTATTTGATACAACACTGTATATGAAATATAAGTAAATAAAAAAAGTAATTTCCGATGTCACTTACATATAATAAATTTGTTATCTACGTTATAAATACGTTTTTACGCATAAAACCTTACAAGGACATTTATAATGTATCGAAGGTATAAGCATCGGTTTCTGTAAAATCTCTCAAAAGTGATTAAAACCTTCACATCGACTGACTGAGAGCCTGGCTGAAACGTAGCTGACGAAGGCTCGAATTAAAATTAAAATGAGAGTAGATTAAGTAACAATACTTGTGTCATTCAACTCCAGAAGTGAAATTAACCACGCTCCTACTATTGCACCCGTGACTCGATCACATTGGTATTATCTATTACCTTTTTACCACTTTGACAGGATTTGTTTTATTTTTCCTCACATCGAACGTGACATGACCGCACGGTATGATGATTTATCCAGCGTTTACACTGCAATATGAAAAACGGGTACAAAGATAACAGTAATACTATCAACCTACCTGACTACAGAAATATTCAAATGTCAATAAAGAGCTTAAGATCAGTAAACATATGATAACGGGTGCACCGCTTACAGTGCTCTCTTCCTGGTCGCTATCTAATGTATAACAGATAGTGTGAGTATGAAAAAGGTTACAGTATTTAGGAGAAATATATTCTCTTGTCAAATCACCCGAAGAACAGGATGGAATTAGTCAAATTAGAAATAATTGGATATTTCATGACTTTGCTGGTGCTTTGTTTTGGACCATGTTTTGTGAAATCTTCAAGTAAGTATGAGTGACCATATGCATTTTAAATGTATCGTTGAATGTGTAAGTTGTTCAGTTAAGGTAATCCTTTTTTTTTATTCTAGATAACAATACCAAAAATGATAAACGGTCAATCTTATCTTTCCATAACAGGTACATTAACATACCATTAAACATCTTAGCAGTAACAAACATTAAAGTAGGAGCATGTTAGTTTTTCTCTGTAGTACATTGTTGCATACATGTACCAGCCTCTCCTCCTCAGAAGTAACATTAGTCCAGCTTTCTCAAAAATAACGTTACAGCTCCTATTCTCTGAAGTAAAATAAGGGTAAGAAAACCAAATAATTACCCCAAATGATGTGGATTTCTCTGTTACATCCTGAAAGTTGGGGATGATCATTTTTCTCTAGTCTCATTATTTAAGTCAGTTACAACTGCGCTGATAGCAGTCTGGCATACTTTATTTGCGTTTGACTAATCCCGTCAAAAGCTGGTTGTGACGCCATCAGCTTGTATTCCTCTGTCGTCATCATACTTTTTATAACGGCGTGCCATCTAATATTTCTTAGTGGATTATAGACATATCATACCGACAGGGTCAATTGTTAAACATGTAAAACTGGAGACAATTTATTGAGGGTGGGAGAAAATATAGTCTTGTCATACCTTGATTGTATGGCAGAGAAATATTTAAACTAACAGATACATGTTTTGGTTGTCTAACACGAAGCTCCTCCTGTGCCCCCCTCTGTAGTTACGTGCCAGCTTCCCCTCCTAAGTAGTTCTATACCAGTCTCACCTTCTCAGAAATCAAATACCTTTTTTCCTTCTCCAGTAGTTACATTCCAACCTCCCCTTATCAGGAGTTACATACCTCCCTTCCGCAGTAGTAACAATCTCTATTCCTCAGTATAAACATTCCAATCTCTGTTCCTCAGTAGTAACAAGCCAGCCTCCACACCTCAGAAGTAACATACCAGCCTCACCTCCTCAATTGTAAAATACTAGCCTTCCTTCCTCAGTATTAGCATGCACGTCATACCGCCTTTCTTGTAATTCACCTGCCAAACCTCTTCAGTTGTAACATACCAGCCTGTCCTCGTCAGAAGTCACATACCAGTTATACCTCAGTTAGAAGTAATACACTAGTTACCCCTCCGAAGTAGAAACATACCAGTCATACCTCAGTTTTACACTCCTTAGAAGTAACACATCCGTCTCCCCTCCTCAGTAGTAACATACCAGTTTCGACTCCTTAGGAGTACTATACAAGTCATACCTCCCAAGTAGTAACATACTAGTAAATCCTCCTCAGGAGTAATATATCAGTCCTCCCTCCTCAGTTGTCACGTGCCAGTCATATCTATTCAGTAGTAATATACAAGCATCCCATCCTCAGTAGTATCATACTTGTTATTCCTTCTTAGTAGTAACACATATCTTCTCAGTAGTAACATACAAGTCTCCACTCTTCAGGAGTAACATATCAGCCTCCCCTCCTCAGTAGTATCATATCAGCCATCCCCTCCACAGCAGTAACATACCAGTCATACCTCCTCAGTAGTAACATACAGGTCTCCACTCCTTAGGAACAACATATTAGTCTCCAACTCCTCAATAGTAATATACAAGCATCCCCTCTTCAGTAGTAACATACTAGCTATTCCTCCTTAGTAGTAATACATGCCTTCTCAGTAGTAACATACAAATCTCCACTCCTCAAGAGTAACATATCAGTCTCCCCTCCTCAGTAGTATCATATCAGGCTCCTCCTCCTCAGTAGTAACATACCAGTCATACCTCCTCAGTAGTAATATACTAGTTTCCACTCCTTAGTAGTAACGTACCAGTCATACCTCCTCAGTAGTAATTCACAAGCATCCCCTCTTCAGTAGTAACGAAGCAGTCATACATCCTCAGTAGTAACATACTAGTTATTCCTCCTTATTAGTAGCACATGCCTCCTCAGTAGTAACATACAGGTTTCCACTTCTTAGTAGTAACACATCCGTCTCATACAACATACAAGTTTCCACACCTCAGAAGTAACATATTCGTCTCCCCTCCTCAGTTGTTACATACCAGTCATGCCTCCCCAGTAGTAACATACCAGTCACTACTCAGTAGTAACATGCAAGTAATTCCTCCTCAGTGGTACCATACCAGATTCCACTCCTTAGGAGTAATATACAAGTCAAACCTCATCCGTAATTACATACCAGCCATCCCTCCTCAGAAGTAACATTTCAGTCATACTTCCTCTGTAGTGACATACCAAACATACTTCATCAGTAATAAGATACAAATGTACCAGTCTTTACTCCTCAGTGGTGACATACCAGTCATACCTCCTCAGTAGTTACAAACTAACCTCCCTCTCCTCAGTAGTAACATACTATAGTGTTCCCTCCCCATGCGTAACATATAAGCCCCGCCCCCTCCTCATAAGGATCATACGAGCATCCTCTTTTCAGTAGTAATATACCAGTCATACATTCTCAGTAGTAACATACAAACTTCCACTCCTTAGTAGTAACACATCCGTCTCCCCTCCTCAGTAATGACATACTAGTCATACCTCATTAGTAATAACATACCAGTCAATCCTCCTCAGTAATAACTTATCAGACTCCCCTACTCAGTAGTAACATGCTGGTCGTTCCTACTTAGTAGTAATATACTAGACCCCCTCCTCAGTGGTAACATTCTAGTCAATCCTCCTTAGTAGCAACACATGACTTCTCAGTAGTAACATACAAGTGTCCATTCCTCATCAGTAAACTATCAGCCTCCCCTACTCAGTAGTATCATATCAGCCTCCCCCTCCTCATTAGTAATAAACCAGTCATTCATCATCCGTAGTAACATATGACTCCTCAGTGGTCACATACAAGTTTCCACTCCTCAGGAGTAACATATTAGCCTCCCTCCTCAGAAGTAGCATATCAGTCTCCACTCATCAGAAGTAGTGTACCAGTCATAACTCCTCAGTAGTGAACATACAAGTCTCCACTCCTCAATAGTAACATACAAGTCTGCACTCCTCAGGAGTAACATATCAGTCTCCCCTATATAATAGTGATATACCAACATCCCCTCCTCAGTAGTAACATACTAGTTTTTCCTCCTTAGTAGTCACACATACATCCTCAGTAGTAACATACAAGTTTCGACTCCTTAGTAGTAACACATCCGTCTCCCCTCCTCAGTAGTTACATTCCAGTCATACCTTCCCAGTGGTAACATACCAGTCACTTCTCCTCTGTAGTAAAATACAAGTATCCACTCCTCAGTAGTAACGTATCAGTCCCCCCTCCTCCGTAGTTGCATACCTCCTTCCACTCCTTAATAGTAATACACCAGTTTAACCTCATACGTAGTTACTTACCAGCCATCCCTCCCCAGAAGTAACATTTCAGTCATACCTCCTCAGTGATAACATACAAGTCTGCACTCCTTAGGAACAACATATCAGTCTCCCACTCCTTAGTAGTAATATACTAGCATCCCCTCCTCAGTAGTAACATACTTGTTATTCCTCCTTAGTAGTAACATAAGCCTGCCCTCCTCAGGAGTAACAAATCAGTCTCCCCTCCTCAGTAGTAACATACAAGTCTCCACTCCTCAATAGTAAAATACAAGTATCCACTCCTCAGTAGTAACGTATCAGGCCTTCCCTCCTCCGTAGTAACATACCTCTTTCTCACTCCTAAATAGTAATACATCAGTTTTACCTCATCCGTAGATACTTACCAGCCATCCCGCCCCAGAAGTAACATTTCAGTCATACCTCCTCAGTAGTAATATACAAGCATCCCCTCCTCAGTAGTATCATACTAGTTATTCCTCCTTAGTAGTCACACATGCCTTCTCAGTAGTAACATACAAGTATCCACTCCTCAGGAACAACATATCACTCTTCCCTCCACAGTAGTACATACAAGTCTCCACTCCTCAGGAACAAAATATCAGTCTCCCCTCATACAAATTTCCACTTCTCAGGAGTAACAAATCAGCCTCCTCTTCTCAGTAGTAACATATCAGCCTTCCCCTCCTCAGTAGTGATAAACCAGTCATACACATCCTCGGTAGTAACAAATGACTCTTCAGTGGTAACATATCGGTTTCCACTCCTTAGGAGTAACATATCAGTCTTCCCTCCTCAGTAGTATCATATCAGCCTCCCACTCCTCAGTAGCAATATACCAGTCATACATCCACAGTAGTACATTTATGTAACATATGACTCCTCAGTAGTACCATACAATTTCCTCTCCTCAGGAGTAACAGATTATCCCCCCACCTCCCACCTCAGGAGTAATATATCTGTCTCCCATCCTCAGTAGTAATATACCAGTCATACATCCTTAGTAGTAACATACAAGTTTCCACTCCTCAGGAGAAAAATACAAGTCTCCACTCCTCAGGAGTAACATATTAGTCCTACCTCCTCAGGTGTAATATACGAGTCATGCATCCTCAGTAGTAACATACAAGTTTCCACTCCTCAGGGGTATCATATCAGCCTCCCCTCCTGAGTAGTACATGTAATATACCAGTCATACTTCCAAGGTAGTAACATATGACACCTCAGTAGTAACATACAAGTTTCCACTCCTCAGGAGTAACATACCAGTTTCCCCTTCCCAGTAGTAACATGCATGTGAGACCCCCTCCTCAGTAGAAACATTCTAGTCAATCCGCCTCAGTAGTAACAAATGACTCCTCAATAGTAACATACAAGTGTCCACTCTTCATGAGTAACAAATCAGCTTCCCCTTCTCAGAAGTATCATATAGGCCTCCCCCTCTTCCGTAGTATCATATCAGCCTACCCCTCCTCAGTAGTAATAAACCAGTCATACATCCTCAGTAGTAACATATGACTCCTCAGTGGTAACATACAAGTTTCCACTCCCCAGGAGTAACATATAAGTCTCACCTCCTAAGTAGTATCATATTAGCCTCCCACTCCTCAGTAGCAATATACCAGTCATACATCCACAGTAGTACATT